CCTTAGGAGATAAGGATTGCTACAAATAAAGGGGATGATTATCCTAATCCTATAATGATTAGGATATCTACAACATATGGATAAATACAAGGGAGGATAATGACAAGTCTTGGCCGCCTAGTCTTGGGACTGAAGTAGACTGATGTGGTCTGGTCCATTTCCGGATATGTCCCAACCACCATCTTCATTTCTTAACAATTATATATTTCTTTGGTTTGTATATTTTTAAGATTCAATCACTTTTTTGGTCGAAATTCATCGTATATCTTCCCATCTAAAACAAATATCTTTAAAGGTAGCGTTAATAAGTACTATATCTATATTTATACAGCTATTATCGTGTATTCATTTATAAGTATTGACTCTATTATTAAATGCTACCTTTTAAATATAATCTCAACAACTAGGACAAACAACTATTGCAATATAAATACAGCTTACCAAATTGTCCTTATTTATTTATATATTAATAAACGTAGGAAATAATAGAAAAAGAATTGCCGACCTCCGAATCAAGAGTCAATTGGTCAAGCAAGTCAAGGGAAAGTTCGTAATTGTTATGGTCACTATATTTATTTTTAAATAATTTTTCACCAAACTGAACAGAATAATTAAAAGGAAACACGAATCCGACCATATTGAAATGCATGTATGACGTACAAATTTTTCTTCTGCCGCATGGGACACTGCCGCAGCTATTGTTGATTCTTCTTCACTTGTTTGTTTTCTTTATATAAACTCATTGATTTAGCCAATCACTGTAACCCCATCACAAAGTCTTTTAAATGTCTTCAGACTTTAGCGAAGACAGCTTTTTAGATTTATCACTTTTTCAATGACTTTTCTTTTATTTTTTTCTTAATGTTATGCACGCAGACACTCTTTCTAGTTTTGTTGTATATATAAAGAAGCCATTACTCATTCACTCGGACCACCAACTTGCGACCAAAGAAAGCAAAACCAAAATTGGTTTCGGTCTTTAAAACATTAATAAAATATTTCTTTTAATGGATTGTTCTTCCTTGCTCGATCTTAACACCAACCCTTTTGATCGTAGTTTCACAACAAAACTTCCGGTGAGTTCATCATGATTTAATATCCTTGGTAACATTTTTGATTTTTTATTCACTAGGACTGTTGTAATCGTAACTAATCACGTGTTCACATTTTTTTAGAAGAAGGAAGTCAAGGTTTCGACCTCTACTGATTTAGAAAGAAAACAGAGCGCAAGTGAGTTAAGAGAGGAGCTAAACAGAGTCAACTCAGAGAACAAGAAACTAACTGAGATGTTATCAACAGTGTCCGAAAAATACTACGCTCTACATCATTATTTGGAGAAGCTTCAGAGTCGACAAAGCCCTGAAATGGACCAGATTGAACAACCGACAAAGAAAAGAAAACAAGATTCGGATGAGTTCTTAGGGTTTCCTAATATAGTAAGTGGTGGAAAAATTGAGAACAGCTCCAGCAACGAAGATCATCATCAGGTTATTTCATGTAAAAGGCCAGTCACTGATAGCTTCAACAAAGCACATGTTTCAACAGTTTACGTGCCTTCTGATTCTTCAGACACAAGCTTGGTAAGGGCATATGTTTGTTATTACATTATCTATGTTTTGTTATGGAGGCAAAAGAATTAAAATAGTGTTGTATTTATAGACAGTAAAAGATGGGTACCAATGGAGAAAATATGGACAAAAAGTTACAAGAGATAACCCCTCTCCTAGAGCTTACTTTAGATGCTCATTTGCTCCATCTTGTCCAGTTAAAAAGAAGGTAATTAATTAACAAAACATTTGAGTTGATTTTTCATTTGTAAATTTTTATTCAGCTATCTAATGATGATATATATATTATTGTTGTTCAGGTGCAACGGAGCGCAGAGGATCCGTCAGTACTGGTAGCAACATACGAAGGGACACATAACCACTTAGGTCCAAACGGTTCTGAAGGGGATGTTACAAGCCAAATTGGATCAAGCACTGTGACTTTGGATTTGGTTCATAGTGGTCAGGGAGCGATGCATGAGGTTTTGGTTCAGCAAATGGCATCTTCTTTAACGAAGGATTCAAAGTTTACAGCTGCTCTTGCGGCTGCTATATCAGGGAGGTTGATGGAGCAGTCTAGAACATGAAGCTCACATGTCACAATGAATGTTTTTGTTTTGGTTTTCTCATTTCTTTAGGAGAAAAAGAATGGTTTCTCCTTTTTTTCTATTTAAAATGTATCTTTTAATTAGGAGAAAAGGATGGAAACTTAAGTGTATATAAAAACCATAACCAAATGATAAGATCATAAACACTCAAGAGTTATTAGTTTTTTAAATAGTTAGATAAGGTGATTATAGAAACAATTTGTAAAAATTTGGTCTGCTTATCAAATATTATAAATACAAACTATGGAATTACATACTCCCTCCATTTCAATCTAGTTGTCGTTTTGAGTTTTTGCATTCAAATAAATAAATATTTAATTTTGCATATTTTCTAAATAAAAACACTATTTTCTATACACTTAACTTCATTTCAACAAAGAAAAAATAGAATATCATATAAATTAATAAATTTCGTATTAAAATTATAAAACAATATTTATTTTGAAACGAAAAATTTTACCCTACAACGACATAAATTAAAACGGATGCAATACTTTTTTTTGTTCCTTCCAAAATCTTTTAAATATTTTTGAAATTATTTTCAAAAAATCACACTAGCAATGATTGAAGAAGATTCCTAACAAACATTCAAATAATCAAAGGTTTCCCTCCTGATTTCTCTCTCTGCTCTGCAACTCTCGTGATTCTCATTTATTTCCTTTCCCCATCTGTTCATCACTCTCTGTTCCCACCATTATCAATGTCAAACCCAACCTCGGTCCCTCCCTCCAGCCACCAAGCCTTCTTCCTTTTAAACCTCCTCTCCTATCTCAAATCCCAAACCCCCATGATTGGTTTCAATGGAAGGCCATGGACACTCGCGGCGGAGAAGGGGAGATGGTTGCATAGTCGTCCAGTGTTACACTCCTAGGAGGGTCGTGTCTCGGTTGCTTTCTGGCCTGAAAAGTTCCAAGGGGAAGAGAGAGGTAGGGAAGGTACAAGATGAAGAAGATACGGGAGTACTGCACCATTTGGCTCCCATAAGGTGTTCAACAAAACGAATCAATGATAGTAATCCGTTGGATAGGAAGTCAGAGATTCATAGAATTGGTAAGAACTTAGTATTTTTTACTTTAATTTCCTACTGTTTGAAATGGCTTCATGTTTTATGATAAATTGATGAAAGTAAATTACACAAAAGTGTTTATAGAGAAATACTATTAGAATCGTGTTCTAAAATTTGGTTTAGAGTGCACGTAGACGTCTGCCTAAGTGGCAAATCGAGTACAAACAAAACGATTTTGTAAAACCAGTCAAGGTGGTGTCTTGCAATTGTCTAAACGTTCGTCCTTTTTATAAAAGTGTTAAGTATAGTCTAGTGATTTTTGAACAATTGGATTCTCATTAAAATAATTTACAATTTGCATTAATTTATATAATGAACGATCTAGCCTAATTTTCCTAATTAATATAAAATATTATTTTAAAAATAAATATGAATTTTCTAATCTTACTCAATTTTATCATTATGTAGATTTATTTGATCTTTCAATTTTTTTTTTTTGAATTTTCATGTTTTCATAATTTTGATATGGTTGATTTCTTTGATTTCCAAATATTTTATCTCATGGACTTATACCAATTTACAAGAACATTGAGCCTTAGGATTGTCTTTAGAACTTAAAAGGTAAATATTAATGCTTGGTTAGTTTTGGTGAGTTTTGTTATACACTTAAACTAAACTAAACTTGGTGAGTTTTGTTATACACTTAAACTAAACTTGGTTATATCATAACTTACAGAAGTTTTCATTATCATTGTGCAGAGTCACAAAGCAGAGAAGCACCTTTGGAAATGGGAATTGGATCTTTCTTGCTGTATCTTGTTGTTGCAAGTAAAACTGAGCTTGATAAAATGGCAAACCTCAGAATGCAAATGGAGATGCTTCTTCTACATGCAAAAGAAGAACTGCAGGAGAAAGATTTACATAAAAATCCACCTATGAATTCAAATGATGCATATGCAAAAGAGCCAAGTGGTAACCAGTTTTCTCCTCAAGTCATTTCGGATTTGGCATCATCCATTTTCGCAGGGTCATCAACAAGTGTTAATCAAGAGGAGACATCTGAATGTGAGGTCTCAAAACCAGAGGATAGACATACAAAGGATCAGATACAAAGGCAACACAAACTTAAAGTATCACACAACCACCTCTCTAAGCAACTAAGAGACAAGCTCTTGATTACTCAAACTCTATTTTCTTGGGTGTTTGTAGGAAAACGAGAGCAAGAATAATCATGTGCCAGAGATGGTGACAGATGAAAGATATGGAGTTTGTCCGTATGAACTTGAGAAAAAGCTGCATGAACTACTAGAGACAAGGCAACAAGATGAGTTAGCAAAGCTTGAGACTGCTCTTAGTCGCGTTGAACGCAGACTTCAAGAGAAAGAAACCGAGGTTTCATGGTGGAAAGACGCAGCCCGCTTGCTTGCTCAGCGTGTTCCTGAATCTTCTCGAGCTGGAGTACTAGAATGGTGCAACCCTGAATCTTCTTCTTCCATAACATGCTCAGAAGATTTTGGTCCTGTTTCACCTAGATGATTCTGTAAGAGAAAGTGTTTAGCTGTGATGTTACAGCTTGTCTGATGAGTTCTTTAGTATTTGTGTGTGAAGTTTGCTTTTAGTATACACTAGTTTCTACTGTCTCTGTTTCGTACAATGTCATACATAGCACTTTAATAACTATTCAAGTAGTATATTTGCAATGTATCTGTATCCAATCAGGCTCCTTCTTAAATCACTGCATTTTCAAAATGAGTATCAGTAGTTTAAGGCTCTCATTGAGGTGTTGAAACTTCAGCTCAGAAACTAAGTCATCAAGATCTGTGGCTGGCGAGAAGTAGCAGTCCACCTTACGAGTTTATGTTGCCGGATGCAATGATATGATAATTAATGCACGTAACATTAGTATAAATTTAGTGTTTCATTATTGCATTTCATTTTTACTTTCCGATACACTAGTAATCATGGCATGCATGCATCTATATATAAAAGATTACTCTTGGTGAATGGTTTAGAAGATTGTGGGGATACTACCTCACATTCAATTGAACAGTGAAGAATATATTCATACAAGCAAAACCAAAAGTTCTTAATTTTGAGATGAGAATGACTAATAGTAAAGGTTTTCAAAAATTTAAACCAAAAAAAAAAAGTAAAGGTTTTCAAAAACAGTAATAAACTATAAAAGGTTAGTTTTAACTTTTAAGACAGGTCTGAGCATAAGAAATCGTAAATAAATGATGGTGAACACTGACTATGGGGCCAAACCTCCATAACTGCAACCTTGTGCTTTCTTCACAAATTTCTTACACCTCTTTCTCTTTTCAGTAGCCTTCCATATAGGTTGTTATAGAAATGAAGACAGAAAATTTTCGCTTATAAGTTATTTATGGCTTATGTATGGTACGTGTAAATGATGCCCCAGAGGCCAAAACAAATGAAGTAAAGTGAATTTAATTCTTCTGCAAAGTATAAAAATTCTTGTTTGATCCGAATAGATTGCGGACCAAATGATGGCCAGCCTAACTTGTCAATGAAAATTATGTTAATAACTAAAATGTGTGCAGTTGTGAATCAAATTATGAGTTAAGAATTCCAGTTAAGATACCGAAATTAATCATATCCTAAGAGGCTAAGAACCATCTGTTATCCTATATAAAAATATTGACAAAATCTTTGTGTTGAACATTCTAGGCCCAAGCCTTATATAAGCCCAGTTCTAATATCAAACGAAAAAAGTTAAAAACATAAAACAGCTAGCTTGACCAGTTTTCCAGGGGACCATGTCTTCTTGACTCTTTCCTATCCGTTACCTCACTTTTATTATCATCTCACCAACTCGCAACGGCTATTTCAACGTCTCTTTAATTTTCTTTTCTTTTTTATTCATAAACTTCAACGGCTAGTAAGTAACTCTCTCTAGCTCTATAAAAACCACACAAGATCCTCCCACACTCTCATCCAACACACACTCTAGTACTACATTTTAAGCTCTTACACTCAGTTAGAAAAAATATTTGTTAGCTATGACTTCTTCTTATCTCCCTGTCACTATCTTCCTCTGCATTTTCTTCTTGTCCGTAAATGCTAATGAAGTTACCGTCGGTGGAAAAACCGGTGACTGGAAGATCCCTTCTTCCTCTTCTTTCTCTTTCAATGAATGGGCTGACAAGTCTCGTTTCCAAGTCGGCGACTCTCTCGGTATAACTTTAATTTATCTTATTTTTAAAAAATAATAATCCTTTTTTTGCATAAATAAAAAACAAAATAATAGTAATTTAATAATTATTATTATCATTATTATTTAATAATTATTATTACTATTTTATTGTTATTTATACTATTATTTAAGAAGTAAATTTGCTTAATTTTCATGTAAATTTAGGTAATTTTGTTTATTTATCATATTTTTAGTAATTCTATATAATCTATTTATAAATAAAGCGAATTTATATGAATATATCAAATTTTTAGAAAATAAGATAATTCTTGTGATTTATGTTGTTATCTTGAACTATATTTTTATATGTAAAATTTAAATTTTAAATTAAGATATAAAACTGATTATTTATATTTAATAATTATTATTACTAATTTTATTGTTATTATTATTTTTTAGCTGAAAATAAATTATTGTTATTATTATTATTACTCTGTTTTCTGACATTGTAACATGTTGTTATTCCAGTTTTCAGCTACGAAGCTGGTAAAGACTCAGTTCTACAAGTGACAAGAGTGGCTTACGAGAAATGCAACACCACGAGCCCAAAAGCTAGCTACACAGATGGTAACACAAAGGTGAAGCTAGACCAACCTGGTCCGGTCTACTTCATTAGTGGAACACAAGGTCACTGTCAAAAAGGTCAGAAGCTACGTCTTGTTGTCGTCACTCCTCGTAACTCTGCTTTCTCTCCGGCTCCTTCACCGTTCGATGGTCCCGCCGTTGCTCCTACTAGTGGTGCTGATCAGGTCACCAGCTTCTTTGGTGTCGTTGTTGGGCTTGTTCTTGGATTCTGGGCCTTGTTATGAGAGAAACTTGATATGAATTATATTTTATTTATTAAATTTTCGAATATGAAACTGAGATCTGTGTTCTGTTCCTAGTCTTGTTGTTACTAATTTAGTATTAACAAATATTAAATTAAATTTTATTCTTATATAATCAGAATAGCTTTTGCACTTGTTTAATAACCAAGTGAAACAATGGTTAAGACGTTTGAATTAGTTTAAAGTACTTTTTTAAAAAAAAAAATTTAAATTTTATTAAAACAAAAAAAACAGTATTACACACCAAGTGCTGCAGCTATAAATTGGAACAAACCAATTCATATATTTAAAATTAGAATGTTATTTAGTTATTACCACCAGCCCAAAAAGAAAGCAAGACTCTTTCAAGTAAAATGAAATATATATTAAACAGCTAATATGTTACAAAAAAAAAAATAAAAAAAAAATATTAAACAGCTAATACAAATTGAGCTCTATACAAAACCTGCAGAACAGTCTTCAGTCATGTAAAGTGTTACCAAACATAATGTTTGTGTAAATGTCATAATGTTTTATTTTATACCAACAACATAACAAGTCAATCATTCCTGTATTATTGAATCTCATGGGACAAAAGTCTGGACACAGAGGAACTTGGAATACTGAAACCTCCATAAAAAAAAAGTAAGATTGTGCTATTAATGTCTTTCAAAAAGAATTTACAATGTGAAACCAAACTACTATATGTCATCATCTTCCTTGACTCAGAGGATGGGGTTAGTTTGATGAGCTTGGCTTATTGTGGCTTGCTTCAGCTTGGCTAGGTTCTGTGGATTGAACAGGCTTCTTGAACTGAACCAAGATCATGGTCATGTTATCACATCCTTCACCACCTGCTGTGTTTGGAGCCAAGCATCTATCTAAAACTTTCTCACATACCACTGAGAGTTTGGTTTCCTGAATATTACCGATCAAAAGAGAGAATGTAGAATCACCCAACAGAGGAAAGAGTAAGGGAGACAAACCAAGTTAGCTTACCGAATTCAACTGTTCATGTATAAAGTCAACTAGTTGTTGGCTGGACATGCAGTCCCTGTAGATATGTGATGAACCAAGACACGTGTTTCAATATCTCTTACCATGTAATAAACTTGTTTTGTTGAACAACATTAAAAAAATATAAATTTATTTTACCAAATTCCATCGCAGGCAAGAACAAGGAAATCATCATCATCGCAAAGTTCAACCTGAAGAGAGAAACTAAATGGTGACACATGAGATGTTTCAGAAGATAGAGAAGAGTGCATTAGTAACACTTACAGTGTTTACATCAGGACTAGCGGTAACGATTTGCTTGTCAGTTGGCAAAAACTTATTCTGCTTGAATTCCATATCACCTGTCAAGAGTAGCTCCACTCAGAGATTGAATGTAGACAAGTTGCATTGTGTGTAAAAGAAGAGGTTACTTACCAATAGCTCTTGCTAGATTCAAGCTTCCATTGACTCTACCAGCGTGAATGAAACCACCAGCTTTTAATATCCTTTCTTTCTCAGCTTCAAGATCTGGTTTGTGATCTCTAGAAAGATTGTAAGCCTGTACACACATGCACAGACACTAAGACGCCAAAGTCTTTAATCAAAATGCCTAACAAAAAGGGTAGTTTACCTGACCCTTTCTGGAAATAACACAACGTGAGTCACCAGCATTTGCAACAAATAGCTGCTTGTGTCTAATAACAGCCACACATGCTGTGCTTCCCGAGTTAGGTCCAGTAAAATCAGAATGAGGCCCCTGTTTTTCGACAAACCAAAGCACAAGTCTTAGATTATCTAACTTTAACTTTTGCTTAGTGATTCTAATTGGATCTGAGACTCAAAAACAGCAGGTAACAAAAATTTTTACTTCCTCAAAAGCCCAAGCATCAGGTCTATTAGCACTGTCTCCACTTCTTGGTGACCATATAAACCCTTCAATCATTCCGCTGAACTTATTGATCTTGTCACCTAGTATCGCCAGTTCTCTCCATCCTCTCTGTCCTTGCATCATCTCATCCATTCTACAATAAACCACAACCAACTTTATGCACAACTTCAAACAAAAAAACTGACTCTTGTTGCTGCAGAATAAGTTGGTTAATGTTACCTGAAGAATGCCTTTTGAAGAGAAGTGCCTACATCTCCAGCTGCATATGCCTCATCACTGAGAACCTGCTGGTGTAGATACTTGGCACAGAACTTTGAAACAACTTTACCTACACCACCACTAGCCCAAATGCATAATGAGAGATTCCATGTACAAAAAAACAAGATTCCATATACTAAATGTTTCTTCTTTTACCTCCATGGCCATCATAGACACCTAAGAAAGAAGTGTTATCATCCAGATCAAGAATTGCAGCATGCTACCAAATTTAAAAGACTGAATCAGCAAAAGAACAAAAAGCTTTCAACTTTTAGATTTGTTTTGTTTTCACTCACAGCATCTTCCATGGTGGCACGCCAACCTTGCATAGAGGACAAACCATATCTAAGTTTATCATTCTCTCCATCTTCTGAAAACTTGTCTGTTTTAGGAGAACTTAAGTATATTCCCATCTCTTTTTCTGCAAAAAAAAAAAAAAAAAAAACAAGTCATGAATCAAGAAACCAATAATCAAATCAAGATACCAAATTTTGAGCATCAAAAGAAAAAAAAAATGATCTCAGAAAAGACCTGTGATCTTAACCAAAACAAAGAGGCTTGAATCAATTAGAGTTTAAACACTAATGGTATAATATATAACAGATAGTAGCAATTTGCAATGGATCTTAACAGACAGTGATGATCTCTCACATCTTTGGCTGAACAGAAGAAATCTGGAGATCGGACAAGATGAAACCTTTTGATGGTGGACGGCGTTGTTGTAAGAAAAAGTCTTGTTTTTTTTTTTTCGGAAGTTCCTCACTTTGTTTTCTTCTTCTCCTTACTACTCGCAACACATCACACCTGTAATGTTTCTTACACACTATTCTATTACAAAATTCAAATAGGTATGTATGATTTTGTGGGTAATCAAATAATAAGGTTGCCGTAATTGGATTAGAGTTGGTTATAATTTTGGTGGGTAACATTTTCAGCTGTATAAATGGTAAAATTATATTTCTGTGGTAATATTTAAATAGAGAAGAAAATCTATAAATTAATATTTGATAAATTAATAATATGAAAAATTAATTTAAAATTTTGATTTTGAGCTGATCTGCTCAAAATATGATATAAATTGATAAGATAAAGATGATATTTTTTTCTAAAAAATTCTACGTAAATATATGATTTTACTAAAATGGTAAATTAATAATTTAAATTTAGTTATATAAGTACAACTAAACTTTTTGTATTGTTTGTTTTTATATTCAAAATGGAGTTCATTTCTATTTCTCTCAACACTTTAATATGTAATAAAATCAATCACATTTTAACTCTATGCAACACATTTCTTATAAACTAAGTAACGTAATAAAAATTTGAAATTCGAATTTTATAAATATTATAAATTTTAAATGATCTTAATCTAATTTTTCCTAGAAATTAATAAAATACCATAGTCAAAATTATTAATTAATAGAGTGTTAATTGTATATACTTTGGTTGGTGAAGTTTTAAAATTTTAGCCTATATTTTATCATTATAGATCAAAGACTCATAAATTTAACTTTTTTGTTGAAGTTCAAAATTCAATAGTTAAGAGTATAGTAAAATTTAAACTCCACCGATTTATTGATAGAATTACTAGTTTCTGTATAATTTTTTATTTGAACTATACTTCAGAAAATTTATCAAATTATGCACAATTAAGTTATATTATATCTAAAAAGAAAACAAAAAGCTATAACGGCAAAAAAAAGGTATTGTGGTTCAGCTTCAAGCGCGTGCTTCTCTGATTCGGTGTTTTGGCAGCATCGGATCATCTTGGCATCATCGCCTTTTCATTTAGAAGCATCATGTAATCATCTCTGGTGACAACTTCCATAACAATTAAAAATACATCATATGAATTAATTTTCATTTTCATTTTAAATAAAAATTGTGAAGATGAATTTATGTTCACTTTTCTTATAAATTGATCTTCGGAAACATATCTATAGTAATTGTAATAATTAATATATATTATTTTTCAATAGAAAAAAGTTTAGTAAACAATCATTTTAATAAGGAAACAAAGTATATGAATAAAATATTGTATATTGTGACTTACCTCGTGATTTGGCTACTCGTATTTTAGAAAAGCCAGATGTGCTGTATTGTGTGTTCTTGTTGGTAAATATTGAAATTTTGAGTAAAATTTGGGCATAAACTCTTTTTAAGAACTCCGATCTCAGATCCGTGTTATGAAGAAATATATCACTTATTATGACTATATTCATGAGACTGTGGCTAAGGTACCCAGACATGGTAGTTTTGATATATGGTTTTGATGGTAAAATAGAACCTTGACTATACATATAACACCACTCTAAGCTTTATGGATTCCATGTGATTAATTGTTATCTTATGAACTATTTGTGTCTAATCAACTAAGTGTGATAGTTAACTTCCAGAAATCATTTCTAATTAAGTTTCATTTGTTGGCTACAATCCCTTTCTTATTAATCAAGAAGCAAATTAAAAATAAACCTTTATTTGGTAGATTAATAACAACTTTACCATTATAGCTGATGTGGCAAACTCACATTCTTCCTTAGGGAACTAAGCTAATAGACCTTTAATTACTAGAATTTTTACAACTATTGCCATTGGTACCATTTATACATTTTCAAACATATAATTGATATGAGTTATACGACTTTGCCTGGCTCTTTGATTGAGATTTTAAATCTTTTAACCGGTTTTCTCAACCAAAGAGAAGGAGACGAGAGATGGGGAGAGAGCTTTGAGTGTTGTGGGTGAGATGGAGAGATCAGAGGAGCAGTGTGTGAAGGAGATGGAGGTGACGAGGCGGAATCGGGACGGTGGGGAAGTTGAGAGACTCGAGAGCTTTGAGAAGTTGTGGATCTAATGGGAAAGAGGACGTGCGAGGAATGGGGGAGATGGTTGGAGAAGGAGTTGCGAAGAGGGGAGGAGCGTTGATATTCATTCTCACCGTAGCAAGCTTGATCTCTGTTTATGGGATTGCTAATCACTTGGTAAGTCTTTTTCTTTTGATATAAGAATGGAGTTCTTCCATGCTTTTTGATCTATGTTCAAACTATTGAATCGATTTTGGGCAAGTATTAACTTGATTATGAATACTTACCTTTATGTTGATTGTCTGTAGAATGCATTTGTGTAAGAAAGATGGGATTGTGCTGAACTGTCCTTATGCAAGTGTATGAAATTTGGTATGTGTTTTTACAAAGGCATAATCTTTGAATCCATTATAATAAGTTATGTATTTTTTTTGGGTTTGTAGGCAAAAGGATCAACTTCTCTGTATTCTACTGATGCAAGTTAAAGTCACATTCTCTGTATTTTAGAAGTGAAAGAGTCAAAAGTACAGAGAAGTTAAAGTTAGTTTTTTTTCAGGAAAATCCAGGATATGAAGAAGAAGATGATCCATTACCGGAAGAGGATTTACCAGAAGAGTACAATAGATACCAACTTAGTCTATGGATTGTATTTGAATGGTTGAGTTTGATACTCATATTCACAACTTGGTTTGAACACTTGCAATATGTTTCTTGTGTAAGAAGGTACTATGTGAACTTAGCTATGGAAATGGGTAACTATGGTTTTAGTGTTGTTATGTGCCAAGTTTGATCATGTATCCATGAAATAGTTTGATCTTTTTGTTCATTCCAAATTGAACGTGTCAAGTATTCGTAAGGATATTGATTTATTAGTTAATTTGTGTTGCTTTCGCTATAAGCTTGCACTTGCAAACTGAATCCCCATGGCTGAACTGTTTGTGTGTGTTGCTTTCTGACAAACTTTTACACTTTTTAAAGTTAATTTGGGATAGGTGGATATCTTACAAATGATGAGACTTTCATAATAAGTTCACTTAGATTAACAGAAAAGCCGGCAGAGGTAATGACTTCAGTATCCAATATGTTTTCCCTTATCTTGATTCAACTCTTAATTTATAGAATTTTGTATCCTTTTATCTTCTACATACATTTGTATTTTTCATATTTTCATAATTTGACATATTATAATTTACTCATGTACAATGCAGGGAAACTTTAAGTACAATGACGTCATTTGTTCATAGCAGTTTAGTTCAGAAATCTAACAACCTATCCTAAATCGTTGCCAGGATTATGAATGTAACTCTGATCCTACCAGTACTGAAGCAGGATCAAATTTGGAAAGACCAAACACAATCTTATTCAGATATTGGTTTCATCTCCTCTTGAATTACTTTTTGAAGTATACAGTTTGATACTAAAATATTGCTATATACAAGTATTTCTAAACCTGTTATATGCTTAATTAAATATAACATATTGTAGAATTTCTATATAATATCCGATGGAACTTATGAACAAAATATATAGTAAATTGAATTATTTTTCTAAAAATTTCACCCCGCGCTTTTGTGCGGGTCTCTACCTAATACTTTCTTATAGATAGAGGTGGTCAAGATGTATTAGGTGAATGCATTATGATTCTTTCATTTGGCTTATGCTAGTTTCAAACATTACTATGCTGATTTCGGTTATGATCATATTATGCTATTTCAGTTATATTTTATTTGTTCTGTGTTTAATCGAGACCAAAGTTTATATCTAAATTACTTTCATATTTTATTAGAATCCTGTTTTTTTTTCTGTTTTAGTTGCTTATTCAAAGTGTATAATGTGACAAAAAATATCATAGAGAAAAATTGATAATAATAAAGATGAGATCAAAAGATCATCAATATCTTGTCGCCTCCTCATAAACTTGTCAGTCCGAATGCTTTTCGAATCTTTGTCATAGGTAAAGACATTCACTGGTATCAATGTGGTAACGGCATACATTCCTTTCTCAACTATTCTTGAAGACATAATCTGATCCAACCAAATATCGAAATCCACAAGGTTTCTTTCCATCCATCACTACAAGATAATTGTTTTAGACTAATATTTGCAACCAATTTGAAATATTTGTGACTTATTTGATACCATATTATGACTTTTGTAACTACTACGGCTTTAGTTTATGCTGATACCACAACTTCAGTAGTTTAAATTTAATTACCCCAAAATCTTAAAACCACTTATCATATTCATAAATTATGAATCATATACCTTAACTCCTTACAAATTTGTTTTTTTTTCCAACGTTTGTAATAGACTCTTTACTAGTCTTCACCAAATCCATAGCTTATGCGCCGCTCAGTTTTTCTCATTTAATATGTTAATCTCTTCCTCGAAGCTGTGAACATGATATCAACCACGTGTTTAATTTAAGGCCGCAATATTTTATTGATCCGTTAGCAATTTTTGTGTCTGCAAAGTTGTCGTTACGAATATTAAACGGAAGCATTATATGAATGATGATGCTTAGCCTTTTAAACGCGTAACAAATTTGGAATAAACAAAAAAAAAACCTCTTGGTCTACATACATCTTCTGCTTTTTGTAATGGCTTCTTCCTCTTACGCACCATTCTCTGCATTCTTCAGTGGTTTCGCTCCAACCAAACCTAACCCACCTCAAACTTCATCTGTTTTTCTTGTCCCTTCATCACTGAAGCGAAGATCAAGTTCTCGGAATCTGAAAAATAGGGTTTCCTTGAAATCTTGGAATAATCATGGGGTTCAATTCAACTCCAGAAATTTGAGTGTTTATGCAAGAGCTACTGAAGAGAAGACTGTTCACGATTTCACTGTAAAGGTGTGTTTCTGATCAAGAAATGAATTTAGTTTTTTTTTTCTTGATTAGCTTCTGTCGAAATAGTATAAAACCTTAAATAAATATTTTTAGTAATTTTTGAAGTATATATATTAATATATATATATATATATATATATATATAAACACGAGAATTTGGAAAATCCTTAGTAAATCCTAAAATTAAAACATAATCGTTCTGTTGATTTTTTTCTTGAACAGGACATAAGTGGGAAGGATGTTTCACTAGACAAATTCAAAGGAAAACCTCTGTTGATCGTTAACGTTGCTTCAAAATGGTGCTCAAATTATATTGATTATTAGTATATTTTTTCATGTAAATGTTTTCTGAATTTAATATTTTTATGTCACAGTGGTTTGACATCATCAAACTACACAGAGCTTACACAATTGTACGAGAAATACAGGAACCAAGGTATCTTTTGCTATTTACATCAGACTGAATATGTAACATATTGTGTGACCTTTTCCTTATTCTTTGTTATTTCTCTCATGTTTTAAGGATTTGAGATTTTAGCTTTCCCTTGCAATCAATTTGGAGGTCAAGAACCCGAATCAAACCCGGATATTAAGCGATTCGTGTGTACCCGCTTTAAAGCGGAGTTCCCTATATTCGACAAGGTATGGAAAACACACACACACACACAAAGGAACCTCTCTTTCAGTTCTTTATATTATTGGTTATACATTTTGAATCTTAATGAGTTGTGTGTCTTCAGGTTGATGTGAATGGACCAAGCACAGCTCCAATCTACCAGTTCTTGAAATCAAAGTCTGGTGGGTTCTTGGGTGATCTCATCAAATGGAACTTTGAGAAATTTTTGGTTGACAAAAACGGAAACGTTGTCGAAAGATACCCTCCCACGACTTCACCTTTACAAATTGAGGTACTAATCGTTGATTTATTATATTCAGAGAATTATAACAGTTCCAAGAAAGCATGTGTATATAATC